CCAAACTCTCCCTGCAAAACCTGAGCTTCACAGAATTGAACCCTATGCCATTCCATCAAATAAGATCCTGCCTCCACCAAGGACCAATGACACTGACGGGAATTGCACCGCTGATTTTATTCTTTCTTGTCAAGGGATACAACCAGGTCAAACTGCCAGCACGCCAAATATTTGATGGCATACTGTACGTCGGTGGGTGAGAGCGAGGTTTTGAGGCTCAGTCAACCTTGTGCCCACCGGTGGGACTTGATACCATAACGGTAAAGGCCTGCGATGTAGAAGTGTAAGTCCATAAAAGGAAACCACCGGTTCAAGAAGGCGCACGGCGCGTAAGCTGTACAGTGCACAGATTCAACTTTTACTATGCAAAATGTACATACAACATTCGGTTAGTACAGTGTGATATGGTTTGTAGCATCTACGTATACAAAACATGGTACACAGAGAGAGGGTCCATGACAACAAGTCCGTCACTCGCACTTCCGTATTTCTCCCTCGCTTACAACGTCCGCCTCCCAAATCAAAGCCTGTGCCACGCCAGCTCTCCGGGCCTGCCGACGGGCCTATACAGCTTCCCTCCCTTCTCCTCTCCTTCTTCTTCGTTCCTCTTCTTATCTTTCCCCGTCGCCCCCCTCAGACTCATCTTCAACTTCCGGTCTTCCTCGTCTGTGAATTCCTCGTCGTACGTCACTTTACCACCGTGACCTTTCGGACCAGACAAGAACTGCTCTGTCGCTTTGACCGCCCGGTTGATGACAGATGACGACGAGCATTTCAACCCTGTCATCTTGTTGATGGCGCCTGGGAGGATCAGGAAGACATCGGAGAAGGAAGGGTGCGTCGCCCCGCCGATGCTGTAAACTTGCATCTCTGTGGTCGCGGTGTGTGCAATCTGCTCCGAGAAAATGGCGTATTCGCGTCCAACAGTGAACTCTTCAGAGTTGACCATCAGAAGAGGGTGCGGAAGAGGTGATTTCCATGGTTCGAGGCCTGCAAGAGTGTCAAAAGACGGTCGAATATGAACAACGCTCATAACACACGTTGAACGGCAGGGTCGAATACTATGACAGCGCGATAATCAATGTTACCGGCAGACGATGAAGCGAGCTAGCTTGCTGATCAGACCATAGCAAGGAAATGCAACGTATGAGACTCACCGCCGCACTCCCGCCAAGTGAGTGTCCCGCTATGATAGGCTTGCTCGCGTCTACGTTCTTCATGCGGCTCCAATCAAACCCATCAGCACTGGATGAGTAACGAGTGACGCTCTCTCCTTGAGACAATTTCTGAATAGCGTCTATCAATGTTTCTAATTCGGCTTTCCGTAGCTGTATCTGTGCGTGTCGAAGTGTGGTATCGTCTGCCGGCTGTTCTTCTAGATCAGGCCAGCTAAACACTATCGTCAGCATCCTTGTGCGCATATAATCCGCGAATACGAACTATAGGTCACTCCACTCTAGCCAGTCCACAATAGTCATAGTTCCGTCCTCGGAAGCGATTGTTGAGCTGGGACTTGTGCCATCTCGGTGTTCAAGGGAGGCTACCACGAACCCTCTGCTCGCCATCTCGCCGCAGAAGGCGGAGTACATCAGACGAGAGCAGCCCACGCCGTGACTGAAAAGCATTAGCGGCCACTTGCCCAGCTCGCTAGGTGGATTTGCGAGAGTTGCGTCTTTTGTAGCAGGAAAGGTCGTCCCGTGAATAGCTGCTGCTGCAACTGGATCTACGTGACATAAATACGATATAGTGAGCTGCCGATAGTCGTGAGTGTGACGGTAGCACCTACAAGCTGCCATCCGGTACCAGACATTCGGAGTGCGCTTGGCCATTTTGAGAAAACCGTCGATGGTTTGTGCTAATCTATCGTTCGTATGGAGATTTATCAGCTTCTGAAGAACGACGATAGTAAAGCCGATGATATGGAAATAGCAAGGGGGATTCGTGAGGTGCTATGCTCGGCCACCACAGACAGAATGTCATGAAAGGCGGCGATAGACGGATCTTCTGATATATGCGAGTTTTGCGAAGTTGATAATCTGGGCACAATGTGAGAAGCGTAGAGACAGCCTGACGCGTTATTCATTTGCCCGTCACTTCAGAAGGGGATATTTGCTAGGGCTAAGCGTGTGACTGCAAGTCTTGCCATGAGCACCGCCCAAGTCACTCGCCTCCGCCATGTTTCACTACCGGGACAGCGCATGAAAATTCGATGACACAACACAGATAATATACCACTCGAGTCGCGAAATGCGGAAACCTCTGCCACAAATAATAGCAAGTGTCACTCACTTTGGGAACCAAGCAACGCCTCTCTGTTTTTCTTGACGCTCGCACGGGTAGAACAGCGAGCATAGCACTGTATCCATTGCAATTCCAGCGACATCCGAGTCTGGCATCTGCTTGTACTTGAAAGTTCCAAAGGTCTGCCTTGGTACGGGTAATTCGAGATCGCAGACTCCAACTTCGTATTTGCCGGTGTAGTTAGGTAGCGTTCGCGAGAGGAGTGCTCCAAACGGCGAGTGTCGCGGCACAGAATGAAGTTTGGGTGGTTCTGGTGTTGGGTGTAGTGCAGATGTCGTCGGTCGTTGGATACCATTCATACTTGAAGTCCTCCTCATGTGCTGATTTGAGCTATCGCTAGTTGATGGGGAGCGTGGCTTGCCAAGCAGTAGGCTGCCCATGGAGGACGAGCGAAGACGGTTGCGCGACTTGAGTTTTTCGACGGTCGTGGCGGCCATGATGGTGAAGGTCAGAAGAGAAATGGCGTGGGTGGGTTGCGGTCCACAATGTGGTGTGATTATGCATGAGGGTGCGTGACGTCACGGCCCATCAATTACTGTGCCAGTTTTGCTCACGCTTGTCTTGTGACACTGGCTGTCACAACCGTTATTACCGTGTGACAGTCTTCTCCCTTGTCCCAATTTCTACCACAACGCTGATTCTGGGCGACTGGTCTGCTTTACTCTCCTCATCGTATGTCTCGATGGCTATCTGTTATACCACGGGAAAAACTTTGGAATACGACGCTCTTCTTCACGACAATTCAGATCGGCATAAGTATGAGGATGGCGCTGATGTATCTACTCCTACCGCAGCAAGTATTTTTGCACAGAGTCAGCCAGTCTCCGCCCAATCCTTCCAACTTGACCACCTTCATTCCGCATAGAATCGACCCCCCATGCAGTCATCTCGAGTTCCTCTAGAGCTTGTGAAAGAAGTCATTGGGTACCTCTACGACGATATAGGAACACTTCATACCACCAGCCTGGTCTCGCGAGCCTGTAATGACTTCACAATCCCTCTCCTCTTCTGTAGCATCTGCGTAAACCTATCTCGACCGCAGAATTACCTCGAAGAGCTCCTCCGCTTCCTCGCAGCCTCTCCTCACATACGACCGTTCATTAAGAACTTGAGTTTGGTCCGGAAATCCAGCAACTACAGGGAGCCCACCACACATCTCGACGCACATCGCCTGGTGGTCTTGCTGCGCCACCTTCCCAACCTTCGCGCACTGCAAGTCGACTCCTTGACTTACAGCAGTCTGGGAGAATGGCCTGCAGTCGTCGAACCTTTTGTCCTTACCACCCTCTCTCTACGGTGCATAACAGCGCCGAAATCCGCCTACCAAGGGCTGCTGGAGCTATTATCTGTCTTCTCTAAGATCGACCATCTACATCTTGCCAATATTCCCGCACTACCGACACCTTTCAGGCCAGATGAACACGGTCTTCCAACCGCCGGTTTGGAGATTGAGGCGTTGACCCTTGAGAGAGCTTGGCATCCAATCTTGCCGCTGTGTCGGGATGCCCTGAAAACGCGACCGAAATCATTCCATATGCCGTACACCGGACGAGAGAGCCTCCCGGGCCTCACAGAAGTATTTCGTGAATATGGTTCTCAGCTCACCGGGCTCAGTCTGGACTGGCTCAGTGTCGGCATCAGACGCGAGGGACCTGCGTACACACCGCAGTGGCCGGCGGAGTCCCTACAAAAGTTGACCGTTCTCAGAGATCTCACTATCACCGTTCATCTCGCTCCAAACGATCGCCACTCTTGGAACCTAATCCCGGAGTTTCTTGATTCTCTCCCAAGGCCCACTGTCACGTCTCTCCGCTACATCACAATCTTCATTGTTCCCGGTCACTACAAGCCTCACGAGCGACCGGGCTGGATATGGGACGCCTTTGACGGAGTTTGCCAAAGATTTTCGATGCTGGAACGCGTTGAGCTGCTCTGGACAGCTGACGAGTCCTCTCAACGTCTCTCGACGAGCGCCGATAATCATGGCTCACGCATACTATGGGATGATTCCGGGAAAGCAGCCGTGAGAGGGCTTCTGCCACAACTGGAGTCATTGCAGTTACTTGAATTCGAGGAGCGTTGTCGTCTGTAATTGTTTGAATGGTGAGCTGACATATTCGATCCTTGTGAATCGTCAATCTTAGTTTACTTCCAGATATATCTTAACTCGCCGCCAAGTCTTGCAAGCCACCTTATTGACTGCTGCCTGGCGGGCTAACCGCGGTCTTGGTCTCACCCATCTCATCGTTACTGCGGTGAAGGCACGGTTTGTGGGTAGTGCGGTATAAGCTGATGTCGCACAAATTTCCCTGTCATCCTTTGTGACATCTAAGTTACTATCGACAATCTCGTTCTTTTACAATGGGCACGCAGTCTACAGAAGCGTTTTTGCGTTACGCCGGCGTGACCCATACAAAAGATTAGATGTGTCTGGTCAGCCATACATATGAACATTTAATCTGGTCGATTGCTGTTTACCGTCTCTGACTCACCTTTTATCCCGCAAGTCACGGTGCTATACGACCTGGCTGGTCCAGTATCTCTTATCCCACTCACTAGGTCAACAAGCTTGACTTCTCGAATGTCGACGCGGATGATCATTATTCTGACGTATAACTAATCGCATTAAAACATTAATTGAATGTCGAATGACGACTGGGCCGATGCTTTGGAGAAACCAGATGAAATCTGCAAAAATGTGTCCCAACGAGGATTCGAGCCTCGGTCTTCACAGATCATGAGCTGGCCACAATGTGATGATCTAACCACTAATCGATAAGGACCGAGAGGATTGGCAGTATAATTGACAAACATAGTTTCACGAAATAATGCAAACGACTGTACTTCGTCGTACTAATAAATGGTTTTGATCTCACCGAATGAGATCCCCAAACGCGCACGACGCTCCTCAGTGAATTCCTACTCGACGGCCTTAACGTTGAAGTTGTAAATGATCTTCGTAGGCGCCTCAATGTTACAACTCCAAGAGACACCCGCACAACGTACTATCACCTCCCAGTCGTTACAGTACTTTGCCGTGAACTTGACGTTTTTCAGCACCTCACCTACTCACCTCCGACTCACGGTACCTTCAAAACCCTCAGTCTGAATCAGCTGTGATCGCCAAATTTTCGGTGAATTTTATGACATTCTCAGGTGGACTCTCTCGAGCTTCAAGTCATTGAATAAGTAGCTGTTTTTTTTTCGGATATTGTTATGCACGCTCTCATGCAATACTCATATACACAGTATACAGAGCCAACTAGTCGTAGCTCAGCGGACTCACAGCCTGCACGGTTTTACACGGATTTCGGATGCAGGTTCCCCACGTCTCAACACCAAGACATCTCTCAACGATCAACTTTTTCTTCCTCCTCTCCCTTCCTCCAGGTATCCTAAAAAAACTAGCACTCAACCCATCGTCTTCACTGGTAAGCACATGTACAATGACCACAGGATCCCAATTGACAGCTCACATTGCATCGTACTAGCTGCAATTTCGACGTGAACTCGATCATTGTTTTGCATGGCCACCGCAGCCACACTCCCATCCGAGTTGTTTTAGCACGTCCTTTACCATGTTGGAGACTCCCATCCGGTGCTTCGACAATTTGGATCAGAAGAAAGACGGGACATGATCAGGCACTTCGCATCCTGCTCGCTGTGTCCATAGGACACACGTATTCCGTCACAACAAGCTTTTCGATTGCGGAGCTTGAGTGACTTGTGCGGTTTATCTTCCTTGGTTCTTGGCATACCGCAGTCATTCACGCCGGTCTCAGAACACATCAGACACGCGGAAATAGTACAGTGGCTAGACAAGCGATCCTGGCTCCATACACTCCTTTGCAGCCGCCTTTCGGCTTGAGATTGTTGACACTGGGATCATCGCAGGCTCGTCGTCGACACCTTCCTCTTGGAATCTGCCCATCTCCCGCCTCTGCTGATCTTGCCAAGAAATTACCACCTCGCATTTTCTGATGTCGCACCCTCTTGCTGCAGAACTGTTACTGTCATGACACTGTCAAACATTGAGCGATCTCGGACTCTTGCTTCTTGCCTTCACCACCTGAGGAAAGTCTTGGAATCACCAGCTTCACCTTGTGGATTGTACATAAGATCACACGGTGTGTGCTGCATTCGCCAGCCCACCCGCTCTAACTTCCTCTTTCTACGATGGACATCTCGGCACAGGAATGTCCAAATAATGTGGAGTCGGCGTGGGCAGCTCTCGCCTGCAGAGAACGAACATGTCATCGCTCACACCCTGACGAGCTTCCATACTTACTCCATACATCAGATCAACAGGTTTTGTATGACATCTCAATCATCATGCACCGGAGCCTTGACAATGGCGCAGTTTCAGCCAAGACGATCGACGAACCGGCCATTAAAATCCGCAAAGGAAATATCTGTAGTGGTAACCCGTGGGCATATGGTGAGTATCTAGTTCTACGAAAACTTTACTGTGCGTCTGGTTGTTGTGACGATAACATCTGCGGCCTGTGTATTCACCGTTGGGCAACGCCGCCTTTTCGGAAGATGGAGCGAGTTTAAGATGTGACTTCTACGCGTATCGCGGGAACGACCCGAACTGAGCCAGTAGACATCGTTGTGGTTGAAATCCTGTCCCCTTCTCGATCTGGGGACGACGAATCCACATCATCGACCGCAGATGCACTGCTATATAGTACTATGGACCAGATAGTGCATCTGCTCGATTCCCTGCGAGGGCCTGTCCGATCAAGCCTGGTTGCCCAAAGAGGGCGTCGACCTCGTCGACTTTGTCGAAGCAAGTAACACCCGCCGGCCGAGTTGGATCGGATCGACATATCATACACTAGGAGAGGACGGGTGGACAATTCTGATACATCAGAAAATGCTGTGCAAGTCTTTCTCCTGTATACGGAGCACGCGGGACTACTAGCTGACCCAGTCACAGATATTGTGGCTAGAGACAATCATTGCGATTTGTTCGATCCACAACGCGCTTGGCCTTCGGTGCATCGAGCTAACTATATGTTATATATTCGGCTCGTACCACGAAATCTCAGCCAGTGCGTGCGGTGACACATGGTAGAGATTGAGGGAATGTACACGCAGTCCGGGGTGCGGCAAGGGTGAGCTTGAAGGCGACGAGCGCTGACGACGTGGAAGTAATATATTCTCTTATACAGTCGTCGACATCGACTGCTGCGGACGTATCCAAGGTAAGTTTCAAAAATTATCATAAGAAAATTAATGGGGTCAGGTTTTGACCATTGTTTCGGTAGGGTCAATGCTTTGTGGCAAAAAATACATCAATTTGCACCACTCTATGTGCCGATATCAATGCGGCGCGTGTATATGTGGACAGTCTTGCACGGCCACCAATCTATCCTTCTTCGTGAAACTGAAACGGACGTTCTTCCGCATCTCGCTTGCCTCACCTCCCTCATACCAGCTACGCATCCTCTGTTGGAATCTCTCGATTCCGGAGGGCCAAGGCACTGAATAGCTCTTTCCTTTGTACGTTAAATTATCAGCTCGCCATCCAAGCTCTCATGTGCTGACGTACGATTTTCAGGTATGCTGTGCTCGCGCAAGGACTTCTGGGCATACTTGCAACCAGATCGCTGCCACCTGCACAGGATTCAAATATAGATCTAAAATCCTCCACGTTTCACTACAAGGACGGATCAGCCAGCCGATCGCGAAGTCAAACAGTGTCAGTGCCAGGCTGACCGATATTGCTCGACTGTTCACCCCCTTGCACCCACCGACCAAATCTCAAACTTAGTTGTTGTTCTGGTACGGATAGGACCTTTGACCTCGACCTAAAGGTCTTCACATGCTCTCTTGATCAAGCTTTCCGACGGTGTGCCGTTCTGTCCACTTACCATTCAACGTGCACCGATCTTGCGTGTGGCTATGTACCATTAATGCAATTTTTCAGAGCTGGTGATCGAGTGCATTTTCGCGACTCCCGCTTGTTTTCGAAACGCGAACAAGACTTTCGTAAATGAAATGGTGACGATCACGATCAGCACAGCCATGCATGGCGGTACCCGTGATTTCCCTTTTTGTTTCTTGCATCCTATGCTTACGTTTCAAGTCGTAGCAAACCTGCCCGAAAAATTTATTCCCGAAACGTGAGTGTATTCTGCAATTCCTACACATTCGACCTTCAGCGGGCCCACACAGCCTTCCATCTTGTTACATTGACATGTTTCAGGAAATTGATCAAAGGCAGTACTACACAGCAAGCAGAACACCGCAGTTGTGATGAGGATGAGGCAGCTCGGTGTCTCAGTGGGATCTGGGTGCTGTTGCCCGACACATTTCATAGATTGATTATACAGTGGCAAGATGCCAATCTTGAATAAGTGTAAGAAGCACTTCTCAAAACCAACACTGAACAACACAGCCATACACAGCCTAAAATGTGAAACTCATACTAGTAGTACAGGAGCTAAACTGGTAAGAAATTTTTCACCTCCCATATTTTTAGAGCATGTGTGCTGCTGTTTGTCACATCAGCACAGCACATGAGCCACAAGATATATAAACCCCCTTGTCACCATCCTCATACCTCAGCACACCCCCATTGTACCAGATTCTCCCATTGCTTCAGCGCAGGTCGGTAAGTACATCTTTGTCTGTGTTGCACCCACCTTGGATCACTGTGCTGAAATTATTCTTTTCAGCAAGCCCTACCCCAACATACAAACACACCTGTTGCTCCAGGTCCTCTCATTGCTTCAGCACTAGTTGGTGAGTACAATGTTGGTTGTGTTGCACTTGCCTTGGATCAGTGTGCTGAATCCTGATGTCATTCTTTCCAGCAAGCTGTCTTACTGTCTTTCAAATCTTTCCTATCATCCTTTGACATCATATACTCTTGCTCATCATGCAAACTTCTCTTGTTTTGTTAACCATTATCATCATCAGCACATTCCATACAGTGACTGTGTCTGCGGTCCCGTATGGATACCACTATCCATCTTCCTCTGACACCATCAACAATTTGAAGGGACGGGCCATTGGTGGCAAGGCAGGCGATCCTCGTCCCTCCTTGCTGGTATCTACTACCCCCAGTAGACTACAGTTCCCTAAAACCTTACCTCCACATCCAAAAGTAACTGCAGAAATTTTCCACCAGGTCAAGAAGGGGGAAATAGGCAAGGGGGGAACAGGCAAGGGCGACTTGGCTCCCTACTTTCGCTTGGCTGAAGAAGATGTCAGAATGCCCCCCGAAATTCATGAGTAGCAAAAGCACCACTACTAGATCTTGTCGGCCCCACACTGTGTAGTCTGTATTGTTACTATCTAAAATTCCTGTAGTACTTGTTTATTTCTGACAGTAGTAGTTGAACACAGCATGAGTGCACTGTTGAGCCGGTGTCTTTGGGGCTGATCCCCGTACAAGTCCTCGTCATGCATTACGACCGGATGTATTAGGTTGGTTCTTTCGGAGAACAGCTCTGAATAATGGTCACTTGTAGACGCAGTGTAAGACGTAGCAGCCTCTTGTTAACGAATCATTTATTTTGTCTCATGTAGTACAAAGGTGGTTCGGTTAGCCTGTGTATTTGAACCTTGTAGCGTGTCAGTGTACTGAGGAGAACGCTCAATACGAAACTCACCAAGCTGTCCTAGAAAAGAGGGTTGCGACATGAGAAGCTACCCAAGAGATCAAACTGACAAGCCAACTTGCCTAGCTTCCACAGCTTCCGTTCTAACCACACGTTTCGGATCGTCCAAGGCTTTGGCCAGCTCTCGCAACACTAGCGCCTTCTGTGGA